CACACAGGGTCCCTTATTAGTAGTAACTGGTGGCATCTTTGTCTTCTAAGTAAAGTATATGAGGTTTAAGATCTTTTCGAGATTCTTTTGCACAATGAATGTTGACGCTCATCTAAAGCTATAAATGATAATTGTGGCGATTGTTATTAGTGAAACGTTGCATTTTAAGAAAAGTACTTTAAACTGTATAAATGCAATTGAAATCGATCGACCAATCACGTGATAGTCCTCCTATAACAATGGATCCAAAATTGTTACGCAAGGTCCAATTACCAAATAATGAACTTTGGTCCCAGTATTTGGTAATTATAAAATTAAGGAATCTTCTTTTTTTTTTTTGACACATTACAAACTTGCTCTGTTCATCTAGTGGTAAAATTAGATCCTTACAAAGACAGTTTTTACTTTTATATACGTTGGTTTGTATAAAAATTTTATCAGGTAATTAATAACACCAAATACCGCTCATCGTTTTTCTTACGATTTAACAAAAGGAACAACTTATTTTAGATACAATGGCGAGTAATATGCGTGGTTTGACCGTGTTTATCGCGGATATAAGAAATTGTAACTATTATTTCATTTTTAGCTATTTGTATAAAAATACTCATATTGACTTACATTTTTTTATAAAAACATAGGCAGAGTAAGAGAGTTGGAGGAAAAACGAATTAATAAAGAAATGGCAAACATTCGAGCGAAATTTAAAGGTTTTTTGTCAATTTGATATTTGAATTATTTCATTAAATTATTCATTTCATTTAATTTTTCCACATTGCAGACGGGAACCTTAATGGTTATCAAAAGAAAAAATACGTGTGCAAGCTTTTGTATATGTATATTCTTGGTTGGGATATTGATTTTGGTCATATGGAAGCTGTAAATCTTATTTCTAGTAATAAATATAGTGAGAAACAAATCGTTAGTATTATTATTTTTTAAATGAATCTTAATATTATTATGCAATCTTAACTAAATTGATTATTTACATAGGGATATCTTGGTGTAACCCTATTAATGCACGAAAATAGTGATTTGACACGTCTAGTTATCAATTCAATAAGAAAAGATCTCGAAGAACTTAACGAAATATATAATTGTCTAGCCTTGCACGCTATTGCTAATATTGGTGGTAGAGAAATGGCCGAATCACTTTCATTTGATGTTCACAGACTTTTAATATCACCGTAAATGTTTTTATTAATATCATTCCCTTTGCGGTATTCGCTTTATCTTAGATCATGCAAATTTATATACTTTTCCTATTTTAATTCAAAGATTTATTCACCTATATGTTTATTTTTATTCAATGGTGACTTAGTAACTCAAAAAGTTTTGTCAAAAAGAAGGCTGCTTTGACATTATTACGGTTACATAGGAAACATCCTGATGTAATTCCTGCAACGGATTGGGCAGAGAGAATAATTGTGTTGATGGATGATACAGATCTGGTAATTTGTTTATATGAAAACAAATAATTTGTCGTTTCATCATATATTTATGAAAAAATTTATTTTTTATATAGGGCGTTACATTATGTGTGACTAGTTTGATAATGGCTTTAGCACAAGATAATTTAGAAGCGTATTTGGGTTGTTATACTAAAGCGGTTGATCGATTAGCAAAGGTAATGAAATAATTTTTCGAAAGAATTTTATAATAAATAGTTGCTCTTATTTGCTATATTTTCTTATAGATAATTGTTGAGAAAGAATTTCCTTCTGAATATGTATATTATAAAGTTCCTATACCTTGGTTACAAGTCAAGCTACTACGATTATTACAATACTATCCAGCTTCCGGTAACGTTAGATCCTTGCACTCTGTTATTTTTCAAATTATTCACTCTTTTCTTTATTTCTAACTCTTTTTCCAGATGATCGTAAGGTTCGAAACAAATTGCATGATGTATTACAAACAATCCTTAATAACTCACAAGATGCTCCTAAAAATGTACAGCACAATAATGCACAAAATTCCGTATTATTTGAAGCTATCAATCTTGCTATTCATTTAGATTGTGAATCACAAATTGTTAATCAAGCCGCTTTACTTTTGGGACGGTTTATAACTTCTAAAGAAACAAATGTACGATATTTGGGATTAGAAACTATGTCTCATTTAGCAGCTTGTGTTGATTCATTGGAACCGATTAAAAAACATCAGGACACTATATTATTATCCTTGAGAGACAAGGATATTAGTGTTCGTCGTAGAGGATTGGATCTCTTATACAGTATGTGTGATGTCACAAATGCAAAGGTGATAGTAACTGAGTTACTTCGATATCTAAATATTGCAGATTATGCTCTTCGGGAGGAAATGGTGTTGAAAATTGCAATTTTAACGGAGAGATTTGCTACAGAATACCAATGGTATGTGGACATTATCTTACAGCTCATTAGTTCTGCCGGAGATCATGTAGGCGAAGAAGTTTGGTATCGTGTTGTCCAGATCGTTGTAAATAATGAAGAACTTCAGGAATATGCAGCAAGAACAGTTCTTATTCATTTAAGATCACCTTCATGTCATGAAAATCTTGTAAAAGTAGGTGGTTATATTTTAGGTGAATTTGGAATTCTTATCGCCAATATACCAGGTGCTGGCCCTATGGAACAATTTACCACTCTTCAATCAAAGTTTGGAATGTGTTCCCTTCAGACGAGAGCTTTACTTTTGACCACTTATTTAAAATTCATTAATCTTTTCCCAGATATAAAAGGAGAGATTCTATCTGTATTCAATCATTACCGCCATGTTTTAGATGTAGAACTTCAACAACGTGCTGCGGAATATATGAGTATAACAACTATGTCAACAGATGATCTTTTACAGACAGTATGTGAAGAGATGCCACCATTTCCTGAACGCGAATCAGCTCTTTTGTCACGTTTGCATCAACAACATTCAGATACAGAGGATAAACGTACATGGATTATCGGAGGCAAGGAGATTAATAAAGATAGGGAGAATGCTCGGTTTTCTACATTAGGATCTAGAAGTAATTCAACTGATAGTAGATCAAAGAATGACATCGTGAGTAATGGCCATAATAATAATAATAATATAGAATTCGATCTCTTACATGAACTAGAAGGGTTAGATCTAAGTGGAAAAAATGGACTTGCAACAACATCTAAGTCATCATCTGCAGGTTCTATAACATCTGGATCAGAAATATGGTTCGGTAAACTTCTATATAACATGGAAGGTGTAATGTTTGAAGACAATCAACTTCAAGTTGGCATGAAATCAGAATATCATGGCCATCTTGGTCGACTTGCTCTTTATTTTAAAAACAAAACACATGCGACCATTACATCATTTACTACAGTATTAGAACATGTTAAAAATCTCGTAATTACCACGCCACAACAACCAGCAACCCTAATACAACCATCTGGCCAAATTCAGCAACTTTTTCATTTAGAATGTCAGGATTTGTTCAAAGAAACACCTAATGTTCGTATATCATTTATATCTGGGACTCTTCATACAATTGTACTTAAATTGCCAATTGTATTAACAAAATTTATGGAACCTATTGGTCTTAATGGGCAAGAATTTTTTACGAGATGGAAACAAATTGGTGGGGGACCAAGAGAGAAACAAACTATTTTACAATCAAAGGTCCCAATAAATCTTCAAGGGTTACGTATTATGATTTCAGGATTTCGTTATGGAGTTTTAGAGGGTGTAGATCCAAATCCTGATAATGTAGTTGGAGCTAGCGTTTTACATACCGCACAAGGAGGAATGACTGGTTGTTTGATGCGTTTAGAACCAAACGTCGATGCACAAGTAAGATTATTTTATATTATTACAATAATTTAATTTTCTTAACATTAATTGCTTGCGTCATTTTTAGATGTATCGATTAACAGTTCGTACTACAAGTGAATTAGTTACTAATGAAATTTGTACTCTGATGGAGCCACGATTAATTAATGATTTTCCGTAGATAAACATTTTTTTAGGAAATGTTATTGAACAATTTATTGTATTTTTCCTTTCCCTTTTTTATACAAAATTATCTGTTAGAATATTTAATCTTTGTTTTTTTTTTATTTATTTATTCTACTATATATATGTTTTTATAGATTTATAAACTTTTTATGCAACATATGATTAGTTGTATAATTGATCTTGTAATTTATATAGTTTCTTTGTATAATTCTTTCAAAATTAATTTCTTAGAACGTAAGGCAAATGAAAGAAATTTTGCATTTAGATTATTTACGGAATCTTAGTATTTTTAATGTTTTAAAAAAAAAAAAAAAAAAAAAAAAACTGGAAATCATTCATATTCCGATTTACCTTAAGTTGTATCCAATAATTTGGTATGTATCTAAAAAATATTAATTAATATGCATAAAATGTGCATGTAAAACTCGATCAAAATCTTGTATATTTACCATTTAATACCATTTAATTTGTTTTATTATTAATAAGTAAATTGGTTTCTTTTATATTTAATAAAATTATATATATATAATATATGCATTTAAATAAACACTGTTTGCAATTCACAAGAAACGGAAGATCTAAGGTATTACAAAAAGGAGTAGAGTCAGGTGAAGCAAATACCATGTAAACAAGTATTAGCGTAATAAACATTTTGAAATTGATCGTAATAGTCTATGTAAAGTTAAGGATTGTGATAAAAATGGTCCAAATATCTATAAATTTAGAAAATTACTCAATTAAGTAAAGAAAAAGTCATAAAAACTAATACATATCAAAATTATAGCTATCTTTAAATTAATAATCAGTTATGTTTTTCATATTATTTGTTAATTATAAAGCAAATAGAAGAAGTAAAAATAAAAAAATAAAATGATTATACAGAATGTGAATTATCTCAATTTTTAAATTTAAATAATAATATTAAATTAAATTTTAATTATTGGTTTTTAAATATAATGATGAAAAAAATGCAAAAAGATATAAATGAATATGAAAAAAATAATTTAAATCAATTAAAAAAAAAAATCAATTATTATTAAAATACTTATATAAAAGACAAAGACTATTATTACATTTAGAAATTAAATTAGATTCTAAAAAATTTCAAAATATAATTAAAGAAGATGAATCATATTTAAAAGGTTTTTTTGATGAATTAATTGATATTTTTATTTCATCAAATAAAAAATTAATAATATAGAAAATAAGAAAAAAATCGCTTGTTGGATTTATTATTTATTATCTGATTTAAAAAATAAATTTAATAATTCTCTTCAATTAGAAATTGGACTTTATATAATGCTACTTTTAAATCTATTGATATAATAGCAAGATTTAAAAATTTTATATCTTATAAAACAGTAGAAAGATATAATAAAATATATATTAGATAATCATTTTAATAAAATAAATTAATATTTTGAAGAAAATAAAAATAAATTATTTTGTTTTAATGTTGATAATTATTATTTAATACATAGTTATAGAAATCTAAATAAATATCACTAGAAAAGGGAAAATCCAAAATTTTTGTTAATTTTTATTATTAAGCCAAATTTGTGCACATGATCAAGATTAGCCAAGTGATCTAATAATATAAATTTTGACCAAAATTTAGATTTCCCCCTTTTCTACTAACTGCCTTCCATATTTAATATACTCATTATAACTTATATATTAGCTGTTATTGTTACAAATTTAGTTAGTTTATAATATAATAACTAGTTAGCTATAGCAAATTAATTTTATATAAATAGAATAACTTTTTTGCTCAAGTTGTAAATTAACTTAATTGCTAGTTTAATAACTTTTATAACTTCTATAAGTTTCAAGTAATAAAGAAATTAACTTTAAAATATAATTACTTTTTTCTTTTATGTGTCCATCATTTAGGATTTGATTGTGAAATACTATACTAACTTACTTTTGAGTTCATCACTTAGAATAAATAAATTCTTTAAGTTTTTTCTAAGTTCTTATATGTAAAGAGAATTATTTCCAATGATACCAGTAATAAAAATAATATTTCAATTCATAATTCTGAAAATATTGAAGATTAGAGAATCAATTATTATTTAATATATACATATTTTGATTTATTAAGTTAAAGTTATAATGTAATAAAATATAATTTACAAAATTATAATTTAATTATCATGAAGAAATTTGATAGAATAGAACTTTTAACCATTTATTTATATAATGATTTTATAAAATAACATTAAGTAATAGATTAATGATAAATTGTCATTTAATTAATTAAATGAATTAAATCTTAAAAGTTAAATAATTATCTAAAAGCTATTGAAATAATAATAGATATTCTTTTATTAAATACTTATCTTCAAGAAAACATAATACCTAATTGTTGCAACAAAATTTCTAATATTATTAATAACTTTAGGATTATTATTATCACTAAATATAAAAGAAGATATAATGTTGATTTATTGGGATTTTTTTGAAAAATTATATCAATCAATTTTTGGTAAAAATAAATATTAGCAAAAAAACCAAAACTTGAAAAATTAATTTACTTTTAAAATTAGTAAATTCAACATGAATTAAAATTGCTACAGAAATATTTCAAAAATTTAGATCACATTGCAAAGATATTAAATATCAAACATTAATAGATATATTAGAAGATTAACACTTACAGCTTTAGACAGGGTTAGGAATTTTATATGTATTAGATAAAATTAACACTGTACTTGTACTAATTTTTATATTAATTATTAACTGTACTAACTGTACTAATCATTGTACTAACACTGTACTTCCCAACTCTACTTATATATTAGTCATAAGAACAATTTTTAAATCATAGATATTTGCTTTAAAATGGAAAAAAAAAAATTATAACAAAATTTTATTGGCTTTTCTTTCAGATATTTTTTTATTAGAAATATTTATTTTTATAGCAATTCAAAATTATCTTGTTAATTTAATGATTATTATGTTAAAATTAACATAGTAAAATTAAAAGAAATACAAGTTTTTAACATTTTGCAAAAGTATTAGAATCACATTTTTTTAATACTTTTAGAATATTTAAAAATTATTCTTATAAAGAATTTACTACAGATTATTTAAAATATAAAACAAGTATATTCTTAATTAACTACTTTCATCAAATCTTTAAAAATTTGAAAAAAAGTAAGAAAATTAATAAGAATGAATATTATTTAGTAACATTAAATCAAAAGTAAAATTAAGATGCTTAACTACTAATCAAGTCAAATCTGATACCTTATTTTTTTAGCATCAGGTAATCCCAATTGATGATAAATAGTAGTGCAGAGGATACATTAAAATTCCAATCAGAGTATTATAAAATACCAATAGGATTATTCTTATTGATATCAATTTATTAACATTCAGTTTTCAATCAAATTATCCTTAAGTCATCAATAGGATATTCTTATTGTTTTTTCTTTATAATATGTAAAGTAAAAGTAATCTATTATAGAGAATTTATACCATCTCAATGAAGCAGAAGTTTGTATAACCTATAGAAACCCCTGTAGTGTTGATATCTATCTGCACTAAGGTATTGGATAAGGCAACTATTTACTAACACTACCCTAGTCATTATCATCTATATAAAAGTTCTTACTAGAACAGACCCTGTGTGTCCTTTTAAGAGGGCTTTTTACATAGGTATCTAGCTGATTAGATTTGTATCAAATTTGAATAAAGGAATCACTTCAGGTTGTATAAAAGTATCACAACTATATGAGTTAGTACGTATAAAAATCAGGTTTTGATCATATGATTTATATAGTTTCACAGCATGATTTCGTACGTACTAACCCATATGTTATCTAACTAATGCTACAGGATTTATGAGATGTTACTATAAAATTTGCCCAAATGGTGAACTAGCAGGTGACTATCGTACCCATTTTGACAAACAATCCAGGAAATGAACCTAGCTTCTGCTCCTAATGATACGCTTAATTAGATAGTACTGTGACATGTAATGTAATCTATTATCACCGTTGATCTAATCTACTAAATTCTGATTAATCACTTTCTTGCAACTGAATAAAGTTAAACAAAGGTCCTGCAGAGTGAAATGTAAGACTGTATTCATTATAAACCAATCAGTGAGAGTCAATATTTGCATCTATATATTTTAATTCAATCAACCAGATTTGTACACATGTTAGTAGTATATATACCTATCAATTCAGCCACAAAGAAAAAAAAATTTCTTATGAAAATCATCTAGTTTTATATATAAGCTGATACTTAAACTGATGGTCTATTACTATATAATAAAACTTTAGCTTAATAGAAGACTCGCAGTTTAACCACTGAGTTAGAGATACTAATCCCTAGGAATATTCTTATTTTTTTAAATGTGCGGTAGTTTTGTTAAATCTTTATTGAATTGATAAATTTATATAATAGTACAAAAACAAATACTAATTTTAGCATATTATATTTTTCAAAAAAGAATAAACAATTTTTCATTTTTTGTAAAAGCATTAGGATCATTGAAGCTACATCTGATACAAGAAACTAGTTTGGTAATAAAAGCATCAGTTCCATAGGTCATGATGGTAGAGAATGAGGTATTAGCCATCAATGCTTTTTTAACTTGTCCTGCTACTGCGATATTAAGTATTGATTGTTAGCATATAGCATAATTATCTCTTATAATTGCTGTCTATTAATAGAATGGTAAAGATGAGCTTGTTAGAATGAGGTAATTGTATTGATATCAGCAGTAATTTTGAGTTTAAATCAATGCTGAGTGTTGTCTTAAGATATTGAAACTACTTAAGGATTCTAATAGGTGTATAGTGATATCATATACTTTTGTGTCTGCATAGGTAAAGAGTACTTGACTTGGAGGACTTTAGTTATTTTTCTATAATAAGACTGAGGAAACATTGTTTAAATAGGCATAGATTTACCTGTGATATTATCTTAATGAGTCTGATTAGCAACAAAGTTGATGTTCTATTTTTCAGGATTGATAGA